AAGTGATTTCAAAAGATGATAGAGTTTATGAAGATTTTTGTCCTTTCCCTGCTGGAAATTAGTGTTTGCAAATTGCTTTTTAAAGATGAAATGAGAGAATTTTCCTTCGTCAAAATAGCTGCTTCTGAAAGGAAGTTATTGATAGAAYCCAATGAGATTTATAGCTATGAGAAAAATGACAGCTTTCTGTGCCTAATATAGTTTCACTTTCAGAGATGATAAAAATAATGTTATCTGGAAAAAGCTGGATTATCTCTCAAAAAACCCACAGTAATTTAGTCTGATAAAGTAGCTTGAATCAATTTACCAAACTGCTTTTATAAAGATTTTAATGTTGCAGTCAAGGATGGAACTTCACAGGAAACAAAGATGAAAYTTTGGACTTTAAATCCCCTCTTAGTGACTGCTTATATGAAAACTGCCTCAATTCACAGCAGTCTGTGCTCGTTTATCTCTCRAGTTTTAAGGGCAGCTTTTACTTAATTGGCCATTTTCATTTCACAAGCATAAGTCTTCACTATAAGCTTTATAATTCAGCATGTAATAACTTGGAGTTAACTAAAAGTGGTCCAAAGGCAAGAAAAGCATAAAAACATTTACTAAATACTGTCAAGCTACTGTTACCTGTTTCTGCCAATATGCATAATCTCTTTACTCTTTTCATACATATTCAGTAAAGAAGAAATAGCTATTTTGCTAAGCTTCTCATAGCCAGGCTGGGGCAGGAAAGTGTTTAGTATGAAAATTGGCAGGCTCATGTCACACTGAGCTTTTTTTCTCCTTTTGTTTGAATTTCACCTTGGAACTGACCCTACATTACCCTGGGTATGATACAGCTCAGGTTTATTCACACACAGCAGAGTCTTGATTGCAATTTTTTTTTTATTTTTTTCTTTTCCTCAGGTAATGATCACAGAAATAAATTTGTTTTCTAATTGCAGCTTTGTGGGACATCAAAGTAAAGTTTGTGCCAGAAGTTACCAAAACAGAGTGATGATCTGCAAGTGTATTTTATCTTTCTTCAGTAGATCTGCACTTAGTGATCCAAAGAAACTCTATCAGACCCCAACCCTTATCAAATCCTATCCCTAACATTTATCAGACAACTCCAGCCTTCTGCTGCATTGCTGAGGATGGCCAGTGCTCAATTCCTGTACAATTTAGAATCATATTCTGCACCAAGATTGATTACTGACATTGCATTAAAAGTCCCAGCTCTGATTCTTCTAATTCTGAAAAAAATGCTGTGAACTTTAGTCAGAGAATGTGGTTATGTGAAGCATAACTTTAAAGTAGGATTTTAAAACTGACTGTACAGCATTAGTTTTACATTCTATACAATAAGTTCTGTTCTAGATTAATCCCTAAAGGCCAAATAGTATTGCTGTTACATAGAGCAAATTGGAAAGTTTCCTCAAGGAGAAGACAGTTTTGCARCATTCATGTTTGCTTTTCCAAAGAAGAAATCTGCCCACAAAGATGCTAATCTTGTGAACTTTTAGCTGTGTTCTTTTTTTTTATTTTCTTTTTTTTTTTTTTCATAATTCTATTGTTCAGTAGAATGCAGCTGTTTCAGTGGGTGGAAAGTGATGATGTGTCCACAAAAAAAAGAAAAAGAAGGTCCCAGCCAATGGTTTCAGCTAAGGAAGTGGACACAAGCCAGTAAAAGATTTATGTTTCTTCATCTCCTTTTGTACTCAATGCTGATCCCTTTCTTTGTGTTGTATGACATTTTGAATTTTTTTTTTTTAATACTGGTCTAATTTTAAGGATAGAGAGGATGACTGTTTGATTTGTTTGATTAACAGTTTCTAGGAATCAGAAACATATAGCAAGTTCTGTCACTCAGCGTGGATTATTCCAATTCTGAGAAAACAAATTGTTCCTTTTTTTTTTATTTTTTTTATTTTATTTTAACAACTAAGCAGTTATCCAGCCCTGCTTTTCAGGAACACCCAAAACTTGTCTTCAACCTCATCAGCGTTTCAAATATGCAAAGAATGCAAGACTGAGCCTGGAGCTGATAAACTTTCCCTTGAAACATCCTTACTTTCAATTTTGTAGATTTAGCCAAGTTCAGCCAAATTCTACATTTATTCAAATCCTGGTTAACTCCAAGAATCTTGTTCAGGATTTATGCATGTTTCCCTGAAGGAATAAATCAGTTGAATAATACTCWGTCATAACAGGGGAAAAAAAACCCACCCACACCAAAAACTAAGCAGAATATTAAAATTTAATGTCATTGCATCTGTGGATTTGAAAGGATAAAGTCACATCAAGATCCCTCCCCCTGAGGCTTCAGATTCTTTGGCCAAATGTTTATTTTTTGGTTTTAGGATTTTTGTCCAACRTGTGGCTAATTTGCTGGCCTGCTCTTGAAAATGCAAGGCTTCCCATTACRGATAACCTGGGCTTTAGAATCCATAATTTTGCAAATGCTGCGTTTTAATCTGTGTGCCTTTCCCCAGCCAAATTTTTCCTTCACGCCTCTGTGGTCTGACTCGATTCCAAAACAAAAAATCAGGATTTTATTGCATGTCTCTTTTTTTTTCCCCCAAAGTTGGCCAGGATTCTATTGCTTTTCTCCTGTGAGCATAATAATATCATCCAGCCCCCTAAAGTATCATGTCATTTGTAATCCTGGTGTATAAATCAGGATTCCCTTCTTATCGCTTCCTAGAAACTTCTTGTAAAGAGTTGAACGCCCACAGATATGGAAAAAAACACCCTTTTTTTTAACAAATGCACTTGAGATGGGTTTATATTTCTTAGTTTTATTATGTATCCTAAAACGACTTCCTTTAATCATCCAAATCAACTGGCATTTGAGCCTTTCCAACTAATTTAGGAGTTCTGTACTGTGTTCTGTCAACATTGGGAGTCTTCACTGAGAAAGCTTCTGTCCAATTTTTCTTCAAAGAAATGCTTTTTTGGAAGACCTTATGGTTTTATGCTCAGTTTTTTCCAGTAGACRCTCATTGCACAAATCTCCTGCTTTGGTGGTTAGTGATGCAGGAAATCATGATGTACCCTTGAGGCTCAGCCACTTCCTGTTCTTCCAGAATTATGTTCTAAAATGCAACCAGAGCTTTCAAATTCGTTCATTTTCAGCATCTGTACCCCTTGAGAAAACTCTTGGTATTGTGCAGGAATTAGGTAGGCAATAGAAATGCAAAAAAAAAAAGCTTTCTGTGTTCATTTGTTGCAACTGGAACAAAGATGTGCTCCCACTTTATGGCCATCTAGAATTCAAACCTAGTAATTCAAATTCTAGTATTTCAGGTTCTGCTTTGTCAGTGAAGTCATCTATTTGACTTATAATAATCAATCACAAGGCCCTCCATGGATTGTTGGATTTGGGGTTGGTGTTCCTTGTGGTTGTGTTCACTGCTGGAGGAAAAAGGAGGATGAGATAAGAATTTCCTTAATGCAAATGCACCCTGGGTAGTCTGCAGTGAGAATGGTGGAGGAATGATCTTTAGGGATATGGAAGCAGTTCTTATTAACTAAAAATAGTGAAAAAATATTTGTTGGTCATTGTTTATTCATCATTGAATGACTTGCATCTGATCAATCATATTCATATTTACATGTAATTGTGCAATCTTGACCTCAGTTGAACATATTCTTAAGGTTTTTATCCAAGAATGTGGGTTATACTACAGCAGCACTTTGCATTTGACAGTGTAAATTGTACAGTAATTTGTAATATTTCCTTTTTTTTTAGAAAAGCTGCGCTTTTTAAGAACTTTCTGATCTTCTAAGAGCCTTTTCAATGGGAATTATCATGCTTTTATATAACATGTGATAGTATTTTATTGTGTGTGAGATGATATAAAATCACTCATTCTTCTCTTGGAGCTGCCACCAAAATTGGGTTTTGATTGAGAATGAATTACTGTGAGATAGGAATAAAAGGTCAATTGATATGGTCCTGAAATAATTGAGACAACCTTTCTGAGAGATAAGCAGGCAGTTTAATTTCCTTATTTTACTGATGCAGCAATAAGGAAGACAGAGCAGGTACAGTCGGTGGCCGAAACTGAATTGCAGATCAGGGATTTCTTGACGCTCAACTTACACCCATTAAATTGTCTCCAGCAGAAGTGGAAACTGCAGTCAGCCCAAACCTCCACCAGATCCCACACTTCCCACTGCTTCCCCTTAATTAAAACCCAGCAAATGTGCACATTGTGTTTGCTTACACAGATCCTACGGAGCGTTAAAAAACTTGAAGCATATTAATGGCTTTAAATTTAAAACTCGTTAGCTGTTGCCCTATTGACCAGCTAAATGGAGTTTCTCAGTGCTCCTCTGGGCCAGTGCCACTTCATCCTGCCATGGAAATGCAGAAATKTTTTGTTGGCTTAGCTAAAAATATTTGGGAATGCTGGTGGGTGAGAKAGAGAGGATGCCTGCTCRCTAAAGCAGATCTGGCCCAATTAAAGATATTCCCACTCTTTTTTTAGAATTCAAAGTAGTAATTTTTTTGTCAAAATACTTGTTTACTGCCAGAAGATGTTATTATTTTATATATTTATATTTATTGTATATTATTTTATATATTTAATATATTATATATATTTTTACTGCCAGAAGATGTCATTATTTTATATATATTCATCTGGTAAAAGAGTGTGTGCATGTGTGTGTGTTGTTTTTGAAATTATGAATCTTTTATTGTTTTCAGTTCATTAATATTTACAGGAAGCTCCGGTAATCAGGAGCCACAAAAAATGGTTATTTGTAGTGATACTCAGAAAGGTATCATTTCTCTTTACGTAGAACTGACTTATTCTTCTGCCTTTATTTTGTGAGCTTTTTGTTTTCAATTCAGTGAGCAATCTGCACGTTATCAATTCACTGAAGTCGTGCTGAGCTAAGCAGAGAAAATTACAAACATTCCAATCAAAGAAAATAAAAACTGATAGAACACATTTGAGAGACATTGGCCATGCACGTCCTCATCTTTTCCCCTTCTCTTTCCATTTTTCTAGATCATAGATGAAGAAGAAACCCAATTCATGAGCAATTGTCCCGTTGCTGTGACAGAGAGCACCCCCAGAAGGAGGACACGGATCCAGGTGTTTTGGACAGCCCCACCCGCTGGGACAGGTTGTGTCATCCTCAAGTGAGTGTTTTAAAGCATATTAAAGTCAAATTCAGTTAATGCATCTTATATTTATTGGAACTAAAGGAGCTTTTAATTATTTTTTTTCTCCTGGGACACATTTGACCAAATTTAGTTCTGCTTGCTCTGTGAAATGTTAGCAATTTAAAGTCTAAGTATTCCAAAGTAGCTCCAAGCCTTCAGTGAGCATTGAGTCAGTAACYCTAATTGAACTTGTTAGCCTCCCATTTCACATTAAAAAGTCTAAAAATTCTTAATTTTTTTAAAAATTGCATCCATCTGGTGAGCAAAAACTATGCTCTTAGTTGAGATGAACACTTCTGTAGAGTCAGGATTGTCTAAATGCATACTAGGTCTATTTGTTTAGAGGTGAATGCTTTCATTTTAGACCTAATGATCATTTACTGGTGTTTTATTTATTATTACACACTGCCATGTGTMATCATGCTTTTCAAAAGGTAACTCCATGGTGTAACTAAGTAYAGAGTTTTCCAGGAAGCTTTTCTGGACTAGTAGTGAGTTTTTAGTTATTTTTTCTGCAGTCTTTGAAGTCTGGTAGCTTTGGTAGAAACACTTGCTCAGTGTTTTCCAGACATGGTGCATGTGATCAGTTTGGCCCTGAAAAGCAAAAAATGACTCAGATAAATGGAAATCTGTAGTTTTAGTGAGGGATCCTAAATCTTTTGGTATGTGGAATGCCAGCTGTGTGGTTGACTGCAAAGTACAAAGTTAAGGAGAACGAAAATATTTCTGAATTTGATTTATTATCACCACCTTGCTTTCTCCAACACCTCTTTCTCTGTGAACACTTAGCATTGTGAGGGGAGAAGGAAGAAGGAAACAGATTAACATAGAGCATACTGTAATTGTTTAGTTGAGAATAATTCATGCATTTTGCTCATTSCCACCAAGAGATGACAGTGAAATACCCTAAAGATTCCAATCCTTCCAGACTCTACTGAAACTGCCATTACTTAAATGTGCTTCTCCAACCTCCTCTTGCTCCTAAACTCCAAAGCTCTGAGGGCAGATGAACTCCATTTGGAGCTTTTTGAACTTCTACCTGTCCATTTCTTGCACATTCAAGCATTCTGTTTATTCAGGTCACTTGGCCTGTCACTCTGAATAAACACTGTGCTGGAATGTGTTGTTGGAGAGACTAAAAGAAGCAGCAAATGTCATAAAACCTCAGGAGTTCATAATTACATATCCATCCTGAAACTGTCTTGGTATGCAGCCAAAAATCCTCTCTACAGTCACAAACAGAGCACAAGGCACATGGATAACAATGCCCAAAAACCACAAGAACAGCTCTGTGGTGGTGTGTAAATTAAAATATGGCCACGTCATTAATGCTGCATTTAGAGGAGCATTTATCASAAGTGCCAAACTGAGATGCTCAGAATAGAAATGTGTTTCAGGTGTAATCTGTCTCACTAAAAGGGTTGATATTATGATTTTCACAAAACCAATATTGCACAAATTTGCCTCTAACAGATTCCAGTTGTCAGATTGCTTTACATGCAGTGTATCAGRAACTTGCTGCTTTGATGCACCTGTGTATTTACAAATCTAAATAGATGTAGGAAAAAAATCAATGAAATGTTTTTCAATAGTTCTCCTTATTGACAAAATTTGCATCAGAGAAAGATAAATCCTCAATGAATTATTAATTYTATTTACATATCCCAGAGGAAAATGCAAAAAAGGATTTAAGAGGTGTCAGGAGGGAAGTTCTGTGAAGTATCTCATGCTGAAATCTGATTTTGTCTGACTTTTTGCTGCGTGCAAGTGGGGAAATCAAACAKTAAACTGTGATTTCTTTGTGGCTGAGTCTCTGGTAGAGTCTGCATTTTCATAAATTTCAACTAGTGGGATGGAGAAAAAAAAAATCAGCTCCATAAGTTGCTTGTTGTTTGCTGCTTGTGATGAAAATCATTGTTAATTTAGGAGCCCGACAGCTGTAGGACATTTGCCATCCGGCAGCAGCTCTCTGGTTTATTTTGCAAACAGATGTTTAATTTGACTTCAAGGCCATTGTCATTTTTCGAGGGGAAACAAAGAGAGGAAAGGAACAGAAATAATGATGATAGTCATAATTTGATTTCCTTTCAGAACATACAGCACAGTCACTATTGATGACATCCCARTTGTTGTCATTTTGTGTTACTGAATGGCTCAAATCAGTTCCTTTATAACTGCCTGAAGTTCTGCATGATTATTCATGTTAAGGAACTGATTTGTCTCTTGTCAGGAACTGAAGGTGTTATTTTAATGTAGTGTGATACGTTTTTCAAATATTAATTTTATTCATGAATCAAAATGTCATTCTGTTTCTGCAGGTTACAGATAAAGAGATTTTAGGCTTTGTATTGAACCTGCACTTGAGTGGGCCCAAATATGTTTTGCTTACTGAAATATGGTGGTKTTCTCTTTGAACATCAGTGAATGTGAAGGGCAAATTGGGTACAATGATTTTGAAAGGAGATAATTCAAAAGCTGAGTAATTACAGGGGTTAATTTTTAGTTTTAGTAACAAATTATTTTAGCTGGTACGTGCCTGGAGATTGAGGTTTTGATAAAAGCTGCTGTTGTAACGTCTTGGCACGATCCTCCATTCTTCAAAATATAAAAGAGAGTAGCAATGAATGGTCTCAATCCTACAACACATCATTTATTCTTAGATGTTATAAAGTTTAATTAAAGTTAAACTGGTCATTTGCTTCTTCATGATACAATCATTATTTCAWGATTGTATTCTACAAGGGTATATAAATAATCCTGCAGGTAAATGTAATAAACTAKATTGGATGTATTGGATGAAATTTTCTAAATTTTTTTTAGCAAATATTTTCTAAAGTGTCTGCAGGCCCACAGAAATCTAGAGCAGCTCTGCACAGCACATTTTGCAGCTAAAATCTCAAGCACAGCTCTATTATAGTWCAAAAGACAAATGGATGAATTAATAAGGTGCTGGATTCTGGCCATCCTTACTTGTATTGAATAATATTTCAATTCTCATGAGGGTTTACATTTATTAGCTGGAGAGTCTCAAAGAGTGGTGTGTAATATCTATAATATCAGTAAGGGTCTCAGAATCTGAACACTGTATTTATCTTGATTCTTTGCTTCATGTGAAGCACCATAAAATCAATTCTGATTTGTTTCCTTAAAGGAGCAGCTATTTGTATTATTGCAGTGCTTTAGAAATTCTGAAAGGCAAAAAAAAAMAMCCACCCAAAAAAGGAATTGTTCTTTGCATGAACTGGCTGTGGAATCGATTGTTGTTGTCTTTCTTTTTACCCAGTTTGACAATTTTAAGGCTGTTGTGAAAGGACTGAAACACTAAATTCAACCAATAATTGGGTGGCCCATTCCTTTCTTTTCCTTGCAATAATTAGACACCCACTTTTTCCATCTTTTCTACATCATTAGACATGCATTGAGTATCTCTGCTGTCTGAACAGCAGCAGCCTGAATGCTTTTTGCCCTCCTTTCCCAGAGAAATGGATTTGTTGCTCCATCAGTTCACTGCTCCAGCAGAATGTAGTTTAAAGCCTTGCAATGCACCAGAAAGCACAGTTGATTTTTTTTTTTTTAAATGGATTCTGGGTTTCATTTGCTGCAGAAAGGGCTGGGTTRCAGGACCTGAGCTCTGTTTTTTAGAGGGATAATGAGCTCGATGCTCTCTCAGTGCTGCATRTGGAGCCCCATGATACCCTTAATATGCACCAACTCCTTTAGGTTTTACAGATTACCTGTCATAGAGTGCCTTCCCACAGATTGCTCTGAAAATAGAATATACCCTGGTTTTATATACAGAGAAATAAATATGTGCTCTCTTATGATGCAACTGTGTCTGAAGTAGATATATGGTAATACAAGAAATATGTAAAAAACATGTTCCACATGCAAAGGTATTGAGACACCACCCTATCATGATTGCTCAGAAAGAAATTGTCTTCTTGTCAGATTTAATTGAGATAACAAAATTTAATTGAGATAGAAAGCCATTTATCTAATTTTCCTGAATTAATTGTGGCCAAAATATTGCCTTCAGTATGGAGAAGAAACCCAAATAGTAATCATTCTTCCCTGTTTTATAATAGTAACCTGTATTTCTGCCACACACAGTTCTACTCACAAAGTGCTAAATATGTTCAGGCAAGTGAGTAAAATAAATCTAAATTGAAGAGGAGGCAAATTTGACAGCATTGTCTCTTTCACAAAGCCGCTTGGCTCAGTGAGAAAAAAGTTCTGAGTGCTGTCCTTATAATTTTCCAGTTTTCCAGTGGCCACTCACGCCTCATAAAAAATTCAGGCTGCAATTCCCTTTTGATTGGGTGAGACTGAAGTTGGGAATTGATTTCAGTCCAAGGTCAGTCAGGTATCACCAGAGTGTCAYAGAAGATTGCAGGACACATCCAGGTTTTCAAAACACCCTCAATAAWCTGGTAATTATATGTTTTTAGTTTTCAAAGCATGTGATTTTTTTTTTCCTCTCTTTTTTTTTTCTGGAAAAAGAGTGACTCCCCACTATAATAAACATAGTCATGTAGTTATGCCTTATATTTTTGTCTACAAGACCAAGAGATTTGTTTTCCTTGTTGCTCCAGTTTCAAAATCTGGACCAATGTTTGGGAATGTTTAAATGGCATTKCTTGGGTGTCAATCTCAAATCCATAATGGATTCACCTGTTTTCCATAAATACCTGAAGGAGCACCCCTCCTTCTTTCCACAGTGTCTGAACCTTTATTTCTCTGATCACACTTGGTGTATCTGCAATTATCCACATTAAAATTGGAGTTTTTAGTGAAGTTAAGAACCCAATTAACTGCACTTTTGCTCCAAATAAAACGTGGTAGGGCTGAATTCCAGTTCCTCCATATAAAGGGTGATTTATCATTCTAATCCCTGTCATTACTGCTCACCACTGTTCACAATTTTCCTTTAATAGTTTTATTCATGTGCTCTCCTTGTCCCGATGATTGAGGCAGATACARACTCTGGATCTTTTGCTTAATCCCTGCTCCTCTAAGCTCAGTTGTAATCACTTCCACCATGAAATGCTGACCTTTATCCGGATCAACAGGACCTCAGGAACCCCACTGAGGCACAAACTCCTTGACACTGTAGGGTTTGTTTCCTCTCCCTGCTGCTCTGTGTTGTTGTGCAGAAAATGCTTCAAATCCCCGTGAAAGGGAATTGAAATCTTCCAGGGAGTTTCGTGACCCCAGAGTGATTTTGGGGGGGGTTTAATGCATATAATTTAAATGTAATCGCATCTCCAGTCTGCCAATCCWCTGCTGCACAGAGTTAGGCCTGGACTTGGTTCTTGCCCTTCYTGTGCAYGTCTTGGATAWGTTTGGATCCCCTTCCTAATCTRTTTCTGTACCCTTCAACACTGCTRTTSCCTTATCCCTGAGAGTATTTTTCTSATTTTCACGTGTTTAGCAATTCTTCTTTCTCCATCATTTAGCAAAAGTGCAGTCAGTGCCACTGGTGGTAGCAGTTATGTGAAGGTTGTATGATTTTGGCATTTTTAGGGTTGAAACAGGAAGATCAGTGACCCTAATGTGCAATTTCCCTGCCACTGCATTCTCCAAAAATCTGTATAATAATATGGCAACAATATCTGCTACAAATTCCCACCGCAACTAATTTTTGCAACCAGAACAATTGTATGAACTCAAGACATTTCTCTAACATTGTTTTTAACCACGAGCAGATGTTGAGCATGGATGGGTGGAGAAGCTTGGTGAAAATCACTCCAACMATGTAGAATAATTTCAAGGATTAATTTGATCTTTCTTTGATAATTATGTGTTGCATTGAGCAGGGTGGTCTCTTATTATTTGAGAAATATCTGTCAGCTATTTCTCAAATAAAATTTGAATTTGCCTTCTTCCCTTCAGAATGAGGGAAGTGGAAAAGTCACTGCTCTCGCCCCTCTTATCTTTATTGGTTATTTTATTTTATTTCTTTGTGTCTTTCAACACAAACAGCCAGCATTTATGGCATTTTCTGGCTGAGTGTTCAGTATCTGTGCAGTCTCAGCTGTCAGGAGAGCTCTCAGAACACTCRGGGGATGAGATGCAGTTGTTCCAGGTATTCATTCTTGACAGATCAAATCTGTGTCTCAGCTGCACTAAAGAACTGACAAATCTCTTYTGATGGTTCCAGTTCCACTTCTTAACCTCAAGTTAAACTAAAGACAGTGCATCAAAAACTTCCTCAAGTTTTAAGAAATAAATAATACTTTTTTCCCCTTTATAGAGCCAGTATTGTGCAGAAGCGAATCATTTATTTCCAAGATGAGGGCTCTCTCACCAAAAAAATTTGTGAACAAGGTAAGATAAAKTAAATCATCTTTATGACCTCCTTGTTGTGCTGTGCATATTTCTCTCAACTCATTGCAGCAAATTAAAATTTGGAGGTCTTGGGAAGTTTCATCCAGGTTTAAATTTGGGATTTTCCATTCAGTTCTGTTCTACCTTATCACATTTACTCCATCTCACACAATCTTCCTTTCCTCCCCCTAAATGTGATATCTGTGACTTTTAACGTGGTTTTTGTGTGATACTCACTGCTTTCTAAGGTACTTTTTAAAATCCTGGGTTATTCCATCCTTTCCTAAAGTTATTATAGTTGTTATATTTAAAGTTGTTACAGTTGGTTATTGCATTCCACTGGACAATAATGCTGTTCAGAAATTTGGAGCTTATTGTGTTTTGACATCAACTTTAGATTTGTCCTTATCAGATAACAAACCCCTTCTGAATCTGAGAATGACTGAAATATTAATGCCTTCTAATTGAAAAATGTAGATTTAAATAACTCCGTTCACTTATAAACATGGTGCAGGTATTTTTGGGTTCTAGTTCAGTCTAACAGCAAACTTAAAACCAAACAAAACCACCAATGTTTAACTCAGATTTATTTATGGGTGTATTTATTGTGGCAATTTCACTGCCCTCACTGGTTTCAAGTTGTAGCCATTTTTAATGGGTACTTTGATTTTTTTTTTTTTCAGACTCAGCCTTGGAAGGTGTGACTGAAAAACCCATTTTAGATTGTTGTGCCTGTGGAACTGCCAAATACAGGCTGACTTTTTATGGGAACTGGTCAGAGAAAACACATCCCAAGGATTTCCCACGTGAGTAACGTTCTTTTTCTTGTGCCATACATGGAGGGTTGGAGCTGATTGTGTGACACAGAATCACTTATTTACAGCTCAGCACTGTAAATTATGACATATATGGAATCCTGCTGACATTCTGTATTGAAAATCAATGGATCTGTCTGCACCATACATTCCCAGTAACTTCTATTTATTTGCTTGGCATTTAAGGTGTGTATGAGACAGTATTTTCAAGATATCTTTGTGGGGAGAAAGGTTTCTTTTTTTTTTTTCTTATTTAAAGGTTAGACTGGCTCAAAATGTAGAGGTAAGAACTGAGACTTTAAGAAAAAAAAGGCCACAAAGGATGGGCAACTCACATTTTGATTTTTCAGCCGTGCCAATCAATCCAGTTTGTTTTACTTCAAAGCATTTTGGATTATTTCAGTTAGTTTTGGTGAGATTTGAAGTTTTGCTGCCCAAGGTTATTAATTGTATATATAGAACTTAAGATACTCTTCTTGTTTAGTCTTTGTTGGTTGAATACAGAAATAAAAGACCCTTCTGAACTTGGCCTGTCTGAGGTTTTAAGTGTTTGAACTACAGAATCAGTATTTTTGTTGCAAATTTGCTTTTTGCAGTTACCCAAATATCTGTGTGTTATGCATTTGGCCATTCCTTACTGACTCTACAGGCTGTGGGAAAAAAAAAAAAAATTAGGAAAATATGTAAGAGTATGAGTCCCATTTAGATGTCTTTAAACTTTGTTATGTATTCTGTGGCTGGCGTTTATTATATGCACTTTTTATGTTGGTTTAAAAAAAAATATTATTGTCASAGAGTCAGAATACCCCCATATAACTCAAATATGGTTTGTGTCAGCTCATGGTTTCAGCAGCCTCAGCAATACTGCTCGAATCTCACATTTGAAGAATGGCATTGTTCAAATATTATTGGTCAGCATAATACGTGGGAGATAAAATAAGCAAAGCCAATAATTGCAGGAATGCTCTTTTAGGTGGTTGGGTGATTTAAATATCTGCTGAGTGTGAACTTCGTGTGCATGGATTCAGCTGGTGGTCAGAAATAGGGCATGAGAAAATGATTAAAAGCTCTGAAATTACTGTGACTTAGTGATGTAATATTGGGGATAAATGGCCTTTTCTTTTACAACCAAGCCATGAACTCATGAAGGGGATGGGTGCACGATGGAAAATAAGCAAACTGCAATAGTTTTCTACAAGAGAGCACTCTGTAGCCTGCTATCTCTGTCCAGTTACAAAATGGGGAATTAAAGCAATATTTTACTTAAACTGGAAAAGTGAAAAAAACCCCCACCCATTTGGCACTTGGAAAAGTGAAAAAACACACCCATTTGGCACTTGGAAAAGTGAAAAAAACCACCCATTTGGCACTTCCAAGATTAGTCTCAGTAATAACAGCTAGTAAGATTAGTTTTATTCGTTTTATAGTTTTATTTATATTATATGTATAATAATACAATATAATACAATATAATACAATAGAATATATACTTATAGTTTTATTTATATTATATATAATATATATATTTATATTTCTAGTTTTTATTTATATTAGTTTTAGCTAGTTTGATGAGTTTTATTTTGTTTTTTCCCCCTGAAAGGACGCACCAACCACTGGTCTGCCATCATTGGCAGTTCTCACTCCAAGAATTACATCCTGTGGGAATATGGGGGTTATGCCAGYGAAGGGGTCAAACAAGTGGCAGAGCTGGGGTCCCCAGTGAAGATGGAAGAAGAAATTCGACAGCAGGTAGGTGAATTTTAATTCATTCTTTAAAAAAAAAAAAGGATCCTCCCTTGGCCTGTGAGCAATGTGTCATTGACAATGTCTGTGAATGTAATTTTGCTAGTTTTCAGTGGAGGGTTTAAGGAGTTCTGTCTGTTTTCTCAGCCTCATTCTTACCCCAAATCAAAGAGATTTTSTCTAGGAAAGGACAAGTGAGTCACAGCATTCTGAACTTAGAAAATCTRTGTGCCACTTAAAGCAGAAATCACAGGTGGTAAAGTCAAACTCACCTTTTCAGGCTCAATTGTGCAAAGGTTTTGCTGAAGGAAAACTTTGARGGCAGCCATCAATCTCCCTGTCTTAAAATAATGAATGATTATCATTTGGATACACTTTGCAGAGTGTTATGTTTTGCTTCTTGATGAATCACCTCCTTTTGTGTTATACAAATATGTAAAGTGCTGTGGGTCCTTATTAATCATTATTTATGTATCACAAGCTTGCTTTCCTCAAKAATCTCTTTTGCAAAGAAAATAATTTATTCCCTAATGTTGAACACATGCAAAACCCTCTGTACATACTGATGCTTTTTCTGCATTTGTGTAGAAAAATATTTCTCTTTCCAATATTTGACCCTTCTGAAGATGAAGTCAGCAAAAGTAAAAGCAGTTTTCATGGTGACACTGTTGATTAATCATTCTTTTTTATAATTAAAATMATAATTAATCTTTTGGTAACTGCTGCCTTTTAAAGGCACCATTATTTCAAGACTTCCAGGATAGGTTGTATACAAAGTTATGCAGAGAGATACAAAAAGAAAAAAAAATTCAATTATATTTCTATAAACAGTGCAAAACAACCTTAAAGACTGTTTTCCTCAAGAGAAAACTTGTGTAGCAAAAGGCTTTGTGTGCAAAATTTCATTTGCTTTTTTGTGATGCTTAAGTGTATATAATGGTACAAGAACAGCTGGTGCATTTGACAAGAAACTCCCAAAGCCAACAAAAATAAAATAAAACCAGCTTATAACTTAATATATAAAATGGATAGGAAARGAATATGAAGGGGGAAAAAACCAATTCCATTGTGGGATAAAATGTGATCATGGACACATTATCCTTTAACTTKGGTGCACATGGAAATGGAAATTAGGCCTTGATCCTGTGCAGAAAAGTGGCTGGATTTTATCCCACATTGCAATATAAACCCAGATGGATTCAAATGAGAGCAGAATTTTGTATATACCACAYGGAACTGATCATTTTTGCTGCTTACTTGGGAAATCAGTATTTTCTTGTACAAGGCCCAGGTGGAATGAAGAAAATCAGCAATTTTGTACTCAAGAAGATAATTTCTTTATAGTCTTGATGAATAGTTTTAAAATAGGAGTTTGGCACTTCTGAATGGTGACTCTACAAAGATTAGGACTTCTGAAACAGGAGAGGCATGGGGAGGGTATGGAAGGAGAAACAAGAAGAGGCTGGGAGAAGGGGCAGTGAATTTGAAGGGAATATGGAGAAAAAAAGTCTCACACCTTAAGAGAAATAATTCGGATTTGCCTAATTATCGTAAAATAAATACTCAGTCATTTTCCCACTTATTTTTTTTTAAACAAAAGTAAGTAACACTCTGTAGTTTGCCACCTTCTGCAGAGAAACCAGTGTGTGTTTTCTGCATGGACCCACAGGGGACATTCTTACGGGTCTGCTTTAATGCTCTCTGAAATGTCAGTAAGTGCCATGACTTTTTAGATTGTCTTCACTRTGCTCAGATGAAAGCTGACTGTGCCTCCAGACCTTTCAAAGGACTAAGTTCTGTTTTCCAGGAAGATGCTTGTGAAGTTTTAGAAACATAATAATTTAAATTATGTGTGCGAATTGAAGGTGAAACCTTGCAAAAAAATTTCTGTAGAAAAAACATGCAATTGTTGACTCCATCCAAACGTTTATCTTTACAAAATAATCCTGATTTGGATATTTTTAATAAAAAAAAAGAAAAGGGAGTAAAAATTGAAGTAAGTTCTTTGTTGGATTCATCCTGATTGATTGGTTTTTTAAAAGTAATTTCAGTATTTCAGTTGAATGGCTATGATTTTATTGCCTGTTTTGTAAAGCAGTGCTGTGTTCTTCTACAGAAGAATGGAGTCATTAGATTTTCCTGGCTTGAGCTGGTAAATCACCTGAATTACGGAGAGGAATCTGCAGGATATTGATCACTTTTTTATTGTAGCGCTGGGCAAATTATTGTGTTTACTGAAACAAGCTCCAAAAGTTTGCTTTTTGAATCAGCATTTATTGTGTGCTTAGGGAGGGTCAAATCAGCCAGCCTGGGAGGTTCARCTCAGTTGAATTATGTTTGACAGAACAGCTGAAAATCCTCCCTGAGCACTTCACCCTGGCAATTCCCAGGGGAATTGGGATTATTGTTGAAATAGCTCAGTCTGTGTTTGTTTAAAGGAAATAAAAAATTAGTGACCCCATGGGGCTTGGCCTTGACTGCAGGAGGAGCCTGAAACACGTGCAGGGGTTTTGATTATTTTGCCATGAATTGCTGTTTATATTTCTGTTTATATTTATATTCTGTTTATATTTTTATATTCTGTTTATATTTCTGCTTTTGTGGTTTATGGAAAGCAGAAGGAATTGGCCACCTGGGAAGTTTTACCTTTGCTTGACCAAACTTTGACTGGATGGCATCAACATACCCAACTTTCTCATCATTYTCCAGGGAGGGAATCTTTGTTCCCATCCAGATTTCAGAGGCCTCTCCCATTGGAAAGACAGGAAATATTAATGTGGCTGCAATGTCTGATATAAAATCATGACTGCTCTTCCAAACATCCCAAAATCCCTTCAGGTTTCTGTGCAAAGCCTGGAATGTTCAGTAGTTTTGGACTTGGTCTAAGAGTGAACAGCAGGACACAGTCCCAGTGTGTTTTCCATTTTAGTTCCAGCCTAACAGCGTAGTTTTAATGGGGTATTTATTCTAATTCTGGGCAGATCAAGCTGCTTGGTCGTAAATTGGTTTYTAGACTTGTGTTTGCTCAGTTAAGACTCCTCTACACTCTGTGCAAACACCTCTGCTGTGAGTTATGGTGCTTTTTAATGCTTTTTGAAAAGGCTAAATGGTAGATTTATCACCCTTTCCTTTTGGAAGATATAACTTACATAATAATTCAAAATCTCTGGCGTTTTGGTAATTAGAAAGTTTGAAACCCTTGTATAGCGTGCTAAATTTCATAAAGTATTTCTGCCAAAAAGAAGTTGTTGGCTACTTATGTCATAAAGAGAAGCATTATACGCCAGTAAATARTTCATACAGGGCTCAGAACACCTTTTCTGGGAGGGATTCCATCTTTTAATAAACTTCTGTTRGAAGCTGTAATTAGAATTACTCAGTTTGCGTTGCTTTCTTTAAAAAAACAAACAAAAAAATGTTCATCCCAATTCTATTCTTTTTTAGTATCTGATGGTAATACAGAGGTAATGCTCTGATAAAAAAATAAACTGATGCTGCATTCTGTGCTACAGAACACCTTTTGTTGGTCTAAAAGCCATTGAAGTTAATAATTCTTGCACAAAATTAAGCTCTGACAAACCATTATTAAGTGGTATAGTATTTCTGGGTCAAAACATGAAAGATTCAACACACTGTTACTAGTTCATGTAGTCAGCCAATAAAAATTGAATACAGAAAAATTTGTGCTTATTTGAGTAGTTTGAAAATATCATTTTGCTACAGATAAATCAGTGATTGGAGCACAGTCCCTATGCCACAGTTTCTCATTTCTGTTTTTGGGTTGGGAGGGTGGCAGATGCTGAAAACTTTCTGTGCAAAATGTCTTTTCTATTACTGTGGTAATCTCCTGGGTTTGAAAAGCCAGGCAAAATATAATTTTGAACTTTTATTTAGCCTTTGGTCAAAACTTTAGCAAAATTGTGGCTTAGTTAATAATGCTTTTTTCTTCAATCTTTGTGCCTTCACTCATCCCTTGTCAGCTGAAAGACTGTTCTGTTAATAAACAGAGATAATATTTGAAAAACGAAACCATTTTTTAAAAGTTTTCTGTGCTTTTAACAGCCATTGCTATTTGATTAATCAATAAGGCACCTTGATTTTTAAAACTCCGTGTTGTGAGCTCTCATCTTGCTTAATGAATTGCAGAGGTTTCACACCTCTAACTTTTATGGGAGTCTTTGAGATTTTGCCCTCTGAATAATTACCCAGTAATGGATATGAAAGGATTTGCATAACCCAACAATGAGTTACGGTGTTAAGTCAGCTCAACATTTAATTTCTCTTTCATTTACCTCAATTTGCCTTGCTGCTTATTTTCTTCTRTTCATCACAGAGCTTCCATTTCTTATACAAAGCAGGGAAAAATGCACCTTTTCAGTAATCAGAATAACAGATTAAAAAACAGAATAAAAGATCTTCAAACTTTTTTTTTTTGCAGAAGACAAGAAGAAAACAAGTAGGCTTAACTCAAAGACAGATCCTTCAAGAAGAAAACAAGTAGGCTTAACTGAAAAACACATCGTAGTGAATTTTGACGCTAAATTGTGTAGAAATGGGGTTTATCAAAATTCCTACCTTTTTCAATCTCTCTAATAGCTAACAGGCCCATCAAAACACATCAAGATTTTCTCTGGCTCTTTGGTTTCTGTCTGGATTGCAGCAAAGCAATGCTGGAAGAGTAAAACTTCTGGTAGATCCATTCATTTGGGGGACATGCAATAATTTTAGTTCTCCATTACACAGACATAACAATCACAAGGAAATTGTTTTCAGACAATAGGATTGGATTGCTAGACATTATTTGCTAATTTTAGTATTTTAAAATATCTTGCCTTTTCATTTCCTGCAGTTRGATCTTATCAYGCYGTTCTGCTGYCACAAAATTATTACCACTGCAGATTCATCCAGTGGAAAGATGTCATGAAATGACTTTTAAATTCTTTTTTTTTTTTTTTTTTTCAGTCTACCACTGTAGTATTTTTAAAATGGGGCAGTATTTTTAAAAC